CAACTCAACTTAACGAGTTCTACGACCAATTTCAGGATTTCCGTAATGAAATGACGGACTATATTGAATCAGCAACGGAATTTCATGAAGGTATGTTGAAAATGTACAAAACTTTGGAATTAAATTCCCAGGAGTCATTGGAAGAATTAAGCTGTGAAATGATGAGTATAATTCGGTATAACCTGAAAAGAAATCAGCTTCAAGACTGGAAAGAGTATATATACACTCTCTCGAAAGATTTGATAGACGGCCAATTAAAAGGTCCCGTGAGTCCCACAATATTTAATGAAACGAATATACTGGATTTGCTGAAACATAAAAGAATGGAGGACGCAATTTATGTTGACAACGTCCCTTTATTCTATCGTCTAGGCAGAATGTGGCTAGCTGATGTAAAGAAAGATGGAAAATTTTTCAATCTTCATGTGATTATATCGATACCTCAAATAAAAAGTGATGAAATGTACATCCTATATCAAGTGAACCAAGTAGGTTTGGTCAATGGTACTCAGTGCATGCGTCTGGATATACCGAATCACGTGTATCAAAAAGATGGCGAATTCTACGAATTGGAAAACGAAAATAATTGCGAGGTCCGAAGTGGGATAAAATTATGTCTGGGAAATAAAGAAAACGAAGAATCTGCAAAGAAAGCAAGGTGTTTAAACGCCGACCCAAGAATATGTAAAACGAATATGGAAAAATGTCAAATGCGCAATATTCAGACTAGTTCTGGTGTCATGGTCAGAGCAATACATCATTTGAAAGCATCGACGCAAGAAAGTCCTACTGAATACGTGGATATTTCAAATGGAAGTACGGTGAAATTTCTCAACTACGATAAATATTATCAAATAGTTGCCGACAACTACATCATTAGATCAATTAAAGAGCCAATGTTTACGAAAGAACTAGAGTTGACGAACCCCGAAAAATGGGACGAATATTTGATATCTGAAAATGAATTGCTGAAAAGAACGAATCTAAGTCACCTCAGTGCTCATGTAGTTCAACAAAAAGAAATTGTTAAACATATCAAATCTGAAAGAATCGGACTAAATCTGACGAAGGATCTAACTCTTGTGAATTTTATAGGAATTTTAACAGTAATGATTAGCATTATAGTGGGAATCTTCCTTCTATACAGCTATTGGAAAAAACGGTTCAGGACAAGGAAAGTAGAAAAGGACATAGAATTAGAAGAACAAAATAAAGACGAACTTTTAGAAAGCGGAAAAGATGAAGAATCTGGAGTAGATGAAACTAATTTCAGTGGTGAATATAGCGAAGGACTGCGACAAAGAGCGCCTAGTACAACTAAGGTGTATTCAGTGGACGATGTGAAAAACAGAGTCTTATGACTAGACGAAGTAGAAGAATCAAATTTAAACTTGAACTGGAACCTAAATTGCGAAAATATAAATTGTGGAAACGTGCCAGAAAAAGAGGTAAAGAAAGCTGTAAATTTACATTACGAAAATGTAAATGATAGTGTTCAAGATGTCAGCGACTGGGAAAGTGAATCAAAGAATACAATAGACTCAAATAGTGCTTCGGATATACACGAGGAACTGGAGGAATTGAACATCGAGCATGACGCTTCTAACGATGATAATTTGGAACAACTACACAAAGAAGAGACGAAACGAGAAACAGAAATACCAATAGAAATATGGGTGATGATATTTAATTACCTCACCATCAAGCAATTACTGAAAGTACGAGAATTAAATAAACGATTCAGTAGTTTGGTGAAGGATTACTTGCGGAACCCTACCAATGTAATAATGGAAAATTTTAAATTTTATAGTTACGAAACGTTCTATTTAACGGAATTACTTATAGAAGATCAAATGTGTTGGACGAATATGAAAACTAAAATTGGAAAGTTTGCCATGAAATACATGATCATGAAAGGGGTGTACTGCAGCGCCATCAATAAAGTGGAAAAACCATACTTGAGGTTTTTAAGAACACGGTGTCTACCATTGTATACTTTCAAGGACCGGCTAAGAAGCTTCACTCCTAAAGCGTCTGACGACGAAGTGATCATAAGATGGAAGGAATATAAGAAGAATTCTTGGGCGGATATTTCCCCATTGGAAAAATCATGCATTAAAATGGAATGCAAGTTCCAAACTTTCTTAACGAAACTATATATGAATAAATATGGTACGTCTCTACCGATAACTACGAATCGGGAAAAGATCCAAAGAATAGGCAAAATGCTGAAAACCGAAGAGAATAAAAACTTCAATCTTCTTCAAGCTATAAAATATAAACCCCCGATTGAAGTTCTAATAGGGTAATCAAACCGTAAAAAGGAAAATGTAAAATGTAAAATGTAAATCAAACGTAATATGTCAAACGTAATATCACAACTCACCAACGGGTTCAAAATTATAGAAACAGGCTATTTCGTCATTTCCATTATCACTTTAATTAAAGTTTTCTAACCACATATTGATCAGCAAAGCAAATGGAAAATACATCAGAAGAGATACCTTCAAAAACAGAAGAAATTCAAAGTCTATCCATTAAAGAAGTCAAATCAGTTTCAAACTGTAATCTTCCTATTGAACTATGGCATATTATTTTGACAAGGCTGAATCTACGTGATTTACTCAAAGCCAGGTTAATTTGCAAAAGGATGGGGAAAATCGTCTCACAATATTTGCGAGACACAACAAGTGGATATCCAGATCTCTTCAGCTTCTATAATTATGAAACATATTATCTCTTTGACATTCTAATGGAGAACGAGATGTATTGGACCAGGATACAAACGAATATTGGAAAATTCGCGATAAAACTCCTAACCATGAGAGGAGCGTATAATGCAGCAGTATTAGGACAAAAGAAATGTTATGCTCGTTTTGTCAGAACTAGATGTCTAACATTTGAAAAATACAAGTCATTATTCCCAAATGAATCGGACTGGGTTATCCTAGAACGTTGGGGAAAGTATAAACACGAGTCATGGACGAAATTGTCAAGAATCGAAAAATCAATTATTAAGATGGAATGCAAATTCGATTATTATTTAAAGTACCAATACTGTAAAGCTTATGGAACCTGGTTGTCTATTACAATGACAGAAGAGAAAATAAAAGAAATCAGTAAAATGATGAAATACGAAGATAAGCAATACGGTAAATGAGTTCATCGCATAACTATGCGTGAATCTGCATTTAGATAAAGAATGATGAAAAATGTAAATATTGAAAAATTTGAAACTTAAAATATAAAACTGAAAACGGGCAGGTTTAAAGATGAGGAAGTTAGATAAGTAAAGGATCGAACTCAGCCCAACTGAGATCCTAAATAATAAATATATGTATACAGTTTAAATTGTGAAAGTTATTATAAGACTTCAATAAGTTAAACATTTATTAAGTTAAGTAAGAAATTAATTATAAATAAGTAAGAATAAGTTAAAAGGCAAATAAGTTAAATATCCGATAAATTGAAAGTAGTTTGTCAAAAGACTATTAATTTAGTACCAGTTCAGAGCCTTTTAAGTTTATTGAAGTCTACTGACCAAAATGGCCCATCCAGGGGTTATGATCAAGTTATTTCATAGGTTCTTAAATAGTTCTTGAATAGAAAATTACAAGCTAGTAGATCTTCTCGTTTAGCCGGTCTATTGAGATTCTGGATCGCAACCGTATCCCCTCTCTGCACAGGAACATTTCCTACGAAGACCGTAGACGCATCGTTATCGGGACGTAACCCGAATCTGTTTCGTATCGGGACGTAACCCCCGTTGAGAAGAAGAAGAAAGAAGAAAGAAGAGGGAATGGAAAGAATTATAATTGTAGCAATTCGTTACCGGGACGTAACCCGACTTTAAAAGCATCGCAATCAGGGCGTAACCTGACCCCCGTTGTCGTCGAAGAAAGAAGACCAAAGAAAAGGAAAGGAAAGGAAGGAAAAGAAAAGAAAAGAAAAGAAAGATACTACTTGTAATAGTGGTGAGCGGCCCTAATGGCGAATTAGGTATTAATATATGTTAACAGTTTTAAGAAATGTTGATCAGCCCTAATGGCTAAATTATAGTAAATATTCTCCTATTTGAAGGAGAGGAAAACTTTGGTGTTAGATGATGATTATAATTAGGAGACCTAGGTTCTAAAATTCAGAGTCTTAAAATTTAAGGATGTCAAGGAAAATTTAATAGAAGAAAAGAAGAAGACGAAAAGAAAAAGAAATATTTCATTAGAATAGTACGAGTAAGCCCTCGGTTGGCGAATCGGCTAATCGGTGAAATGATCAAATTAAAAACTCTATGAAAAAGGGGATCGTGTTGGCCTCTCGGACCAACAAGACTCTTTAATTATAGGTGGTTCTTTGCTAAAGTTCCGTTCATTTGGCTGAATTTGTCGAATCCATTTCTCTTGAGAACTCAAAGTTTTAGTATACCTCCAAGTCAAATTTATTTTACGGATTGAAACAGTTAATTGAATTAACCCGTAAAACTCTTAGAAGGCACAGCTACAGTGACTTTGGTCATTAGTCCAGTGAAACTTTCAAAATATAAAACACCGATAACGGGTCTACTCAAATGATCCAGGGTGTTGGTCATTAGTCCGGAAAAACTTTCAAAATATACGGACCTTCAAATGATATAGGGTACATAGTTCCGTGTTGATTAGTTTCAATTGAGCATTAACGAGGCCACGCATCGGCGATCTAGAAGCCGTGTTTCGATGCGTCCTAACGGTAACAACACTGCCCGACTATATCTGAATTTTAGTTGCGATAGCAACAAGTTACAATTCGACGTAGCTCTCTAATAAGCTACAAGTTCAATTCAAATCGGAAATATAAAAAGACTCTCAATATATGAACCTTATCTCCGAAGGTATCTATTTAATGAATTAATGGAAGTATTATTATATTTGAAGGCTTATTATACGACTCTATCAATTGTGTTCAAGTAACCATAAATTGAGACTGATTAAAAGCTCTAAAATCTAAAATATAAAATATAAATAAACCACAACGGCAGTAGCCAAAATTCTGCTAATTTTCTTAATTTACCCATTACATTACCCGGGACTCCGCCAGACATGAATAATCTTAAGATTCTGCTCTGGAATGTTATCCACCTGGCGTGGCAGAGGGGGCCAATTTCTGTTCCTGCGAGCTTAGGTGGTAGTGCCCCTGCGGAAACAAGAATTTAGAAATTTCAATCCTATGAGTCAGTATTTAACAGCAATGGAACCAGAGCAGGCTTAGCAAGAGAGAGTTTTCGGAAGAGCTTGAACAAGCAGCGTATCAATGAATTAATTTAGAAACACTTACCGGTTTGAACAGCTAAAACGTGGCGGTAGAGAACCTTCTGGTCCCAACTCAGTTTCTTGACAACACCATCAGGAAGAGGGGAGAAGGTGTGGGCTCTGAGTGGGACAAACTTCCTCGACGCCATCTGGTGAACCGGTCCAGCAGCAAGCTTCCCGATGGGGCCGGAGAAAGAATTAGGTCCGGTCGTGACTCCATCGAGCGAGGTGAAGAAATGCCGGAAGGGTAGTTCTATCCTGTGTAATGAGCAAACACTTCTCTGCAGTTCCCTCCCCAGCTTCTTTTCCAAGAGGACGACAACTCCCGAATGTCTTCCTGTGTTAGTGCTCGTCCCGTCACAGCCGCAGCACTTAAGTCCACTTATGTCAATTCCGAGCTCCTTACAATGTTCTCCGATGGCTCTGACAGTGTCGACTCCTGAAATGTCAAATTTATCAGATAATTGTGTTAATTGTGTAGACGGACCGATATTACAGAGTTAAAGCACAGTATTACCAACCTACTGTTTTTTTAAATCTCGCTGCTTTATGTGCAGCAAGATGAGAAATTACAGTATCTAAAGATAGAAGTAGAACAGTATTTCTATGAGTCTATGGAAGGGCCACCAATTTTTGTATCATTCGACAGCGTTTGACCAATGAGACGTTAGATACTACCAATCAATATTGGTGTCACAAAATATAATCCTCGCGAGCATGAAAATAATGGAATTAGCTAACTAACCGCTTCCGCTGTCAGGAGTGGCGAAACCAAGATATCGACCGGACGGCTGTTCCACCAAAGTAATGTGTTCTTCTTCTTGGCGCCGGAGAACTTCGTCTGAGTCTTTGAGGAGGGTTCCTCTATCTTTTCTTCCGTCGAAATACAGGGCTTCGACTGCTGTACCCTTTAGGTTATCCAGTAAAGCTCCCCTGGACTTAGCCCGTATGTTCCGGATCTTCTTTTCTGTCACCTGCTCCTGTATCCCGACTACCTCGTTGTATTTGCTGAGAAAACGGGCTGCAGTCCCGTTTGATAACTGTTCTGCGGCTAATCGAGGAGCGAGATTTTCAAGTTTCATTAAGTTGTATCTCCCTTTCTTAGCTGGTGGTGTCCTGAAGGATTAGTTCAACATTAAATTTTGAAATTTACGTTTTTCTCTTTGGAAACATTTGATGCAAAATTGATACAATTTTAGACACGGTTGATGAGATGTCACGGGGATGGAATATTTTATTGAAACTGGAACTTCCAATTTCCAATTTCATCCATCAGTAGAACGTACCTAAAAAGCTAAAATTTAAACCACATCCGGATTTTTCCAAAACCAAGAACTTTTTCAAAAAAGGACGACTTTACCAATGTAAGCAACATCGCAGAAATAGCACTGATGAATGAGGTTTCTTATCAATATTCAAATTACTTGTTTGCTAATAGCCAAGGTTGAAACTTACATTTGAGCGTTCGAACCGGTGAGATTTTCCTGTTGAATGTGTCGCCTCGATTCGAATCCGTTAAAAAATCCAAAAATCTGTAGAATACAAGTTTGTTCGTCGAATTTAGCAAATTTTTGACGAAATTTGAATCCTCTTTTTATCTAATCATTATATTATGATGCCATTACGTAAAATTATTAGTAATACAGGGTCGGCCAAAAGTCACTGTGCAAACGTTGAACTTAAAACCGGAAACTTTCCATCGATACGGATAAAGAAGGAGATTCTTACCTCGGGTCAGGCTCAAAGTCGCTGTCGCTGTTGGTATCACTGTCTGATCCCTCAGTGTCAGAGTCCAGTTGTAGACTCCGTCGTCTTTTTCTCTCTCGTAAATTGCGTGACTGAAATGTATGTGTTATTACCTGAGTCTGGGCAGAAGGTCCAGCAAGGACTTCAAGGACAGGGGAAACAGCAGTTACGGGAGAGACATTCTGGTCAGCAACAGGTTCAGGGCTCGCAGAACTGTCAACGTTGATCTCTAGAGCGGATTCGACTTCAGTAGTTACTGGTGTAGATGGCTGGGACTGAGCTTCAGGAGAGGAAGAATAGGTAATGAAAATCTTCTTCTCGAGCTCTTCCTTCCGCTTTCTGACAGTTTGAACGCTTAAAGTAGAATGTTTACGAGCTTGTTCTCGAGTTTTCTCGAGAACCTCCTCTATTAACGTTCAATCAGAAATTATGAGGTTTAAAGTAGAGGCAGAATGAAGTACTTAAGTACAGGTAATACAATTGTTCAAAGAAATGTCACAAAGTATAGATTTCCGTGTTCTAGGTCAGGTTCAGGTCAAATAGCATAAATTTCAGGCAGAGTGAACATGATTTCAGGCAGGCAGCATTGCGGAAATATCAGAGTTGAAAAAGTACAATATCTGTAACGGATCTCTGACAGAGAATTAGCCAAACTTAAGTGACAGATTGAAATACAGGAGTTCTCAGAAAGGACAGGTTACCCCAAATTTCAGCGACGAAATCAAGTACAAAAGTACAGGTCAGGTAATACAATTGTTCAAAGAAATGTCACAAAGTATAGATTTTCGTGCTCTAGGTCAGGTTCAGGCCAAATAGCACAAATTTCAGGCAGAGTGAACATGATTTCAGGCAGGCAGCATTGCGGAAATATCAGAGTCGAAAAGTACAATATCTGTAACGGATCTTAAGTTCAATTGTTCAAAGAAATGTCACAAAGTATAGATTTTCGTGTTCTAGGTCAGGTTCAGGCCAAATAGCACAAATTTCAGGCAGAGTGAACACGATTTCAGGCAGGCAGCATTGCGGAAATATCAGAGTCGAAAAGTACAATATCTGTAACGGATCTTAAGTGGAGCCAAACTTAAGTGACAGATTAACGGAGCCAAACTTAAGTGACAGATTGCAATACAGGAGTTCTCAGAAAGGACAGGTTACCGCAAATTTCAGCGACGAAATCAAGTACAAAAGTACAGGTCAGGTAATACAATTGTTCAAAAAAATGTCACAAAGTATAGATTTTCGTGTTCTAGGTCAGGTTCAGGTCAAATAGCATAAATTTCAGGCAGAGTGAACATGATTTCAGGCAGGCAGCATTGCGGAAATATCAGAGTTGAAAAAGTACAATATCTGTAACGGATCTCTGACAGAGAATTAGCCAAACTTAAGTGACAGATTGAAATACAGGAGTTCTCAGAAAGGACAGGTTACCGCAAATTTCAGCGACGAAATCAAGTACAAAAGTACAGGTCAGGTAATACAATTGTTCAAAGAAATGTCACAAAGTATAGATTTTCGTGTTCTAGGTCAGGTTCAGGTCAAATAGCATAAATTTTCAATCCAATCTACTTTATGTACCTTTCTTATTTACATCAGAAAACCAGCAGTTGGTTAAGTTTCGATATAACAAGATTAAATTACCAACTTAGTGCTGATCCAAATGTTTGGACTAGTTTTGAAATGGGCGGCAAACTCCACGTTTCAGAACATCAATGCATGGAACTGAGATTTGCAGTGTTCGTTGAAAGCAACAAGCTAAAGCGCCAACGTGTTCCCTGTAGTGAAAACTTTATCCAACGCGAAATACATATTTTGGCGCTAGGCGAGCTGGTAAACTTAATTTTCAGTGCGCGGCGTGCTGTCCACGGTTGCTGAGTGATGCATGGGTGGCCAAAATTAATGAAATGACCGATATTTTCTCAAAAAACTTTGCTGTTAAATCTAATTTATCATTATTTGAGGTCTAATTTGGATAATGCATAGAAAAACTGTAATAATTTCAATACTGCTGCTTGACCCAGCTTATATGTTTGGCTCCGCGCGATCGTCTCAAATTACGCGATTATAATGCGATAAATAAGTGAGCTTAGTTATCAGACCTTCAACATGCCTAAACATTGGCCAATCTTGAAAACTTTGGTATCCCCGTATAGGGAAAATTGTTGGCTACAAGATCTGACAGTTGGCATATTGATTTAGGCATTTAAAATCGATGGGCGACCCCTAAGTCCTTCAAGCTTAAATTATTCACCTTACTGCCTCATGAGGCAGTCAACCAACGCGCGGCTTTATTTTTATGATATGATATGTTTTGATTGTTATTAATAAATACCAAAATTTAAATTTGTTTTCCTAAAATTTGTTTTCCTATTATTTATCACCAATTCAATACACAATCAATTAATAAATATATATCCGAAAAAACTTGATTTCAAAGTAAGTGATACAAGTATGCTAGCAGCTAGCGCGCTTGTATTTAATAATAATACGCGCTGTAAGAGTGGGTCTGACCACACCGCCACTCACATTGCCACAGCTGTGAAAGAACCCAAGCACTATTGTCTATTAAACTTTTATGAGCCCTGATTGACTGCTGAGAGTGGTGACGGGTCTGACATTTATTTTGTTTTCCTTATATTCCAGTATGCAGTAAAATTAAGTTATATGATTGTCATGCGATATTTAAGTCACAGCTGCTCGCAATACATTATTGATTATAAAATTGTTAAATATGCTCGCTATACACTTTTAGATACTAAATGTATATGTTCATATTAGCTCATAATATCAAATACCAATAACAAATAAAATATAAACATGAAGAGGCCCAAAACCAACTCAAGCATGTCACCAGATTAAAAACAACATCGCACACATTGTCATTGGAAGCTGCAAGCTTATTATCGTATGATTCCACGTTGATCCGTTATTATGCAATCACCTTCAGGCGGTGTCAACAGATCATGCAAAAAGGGTTTTTGACAGGCTGTGCCCTTACCACAATTAAACTGAACCATTGTCTGATGTAAACATGAGTGTTGGCTAAGTGAGCTGCGCAAGCGCTCACGCATTTGTGTAGATCTGGCTATATAGTAGCGCTTGAGTAATTTGGCTACAAAAACGTAAATTGTGCGTTACGTAAAGTATCATTTTTTCCCTTCAGATAAAGTGAACAGTACACCTGCGTGTAGCCTGCTTCAATGGTTTGTGTGCATGTGTGGTGGAGTGAGTGTAGAATGTAATGATCGACTGAATCTGTTTCTTTTGTGGTGTATATTTGATGAGAGTAACAGGTGTAAAATGAAAAAAAGATATAAATATAAATGGGGGTATTTTCATAGGAAAGTGTTGAAGTTTAAGTCCTGCCAGTTATAATTAAGTCCTGCCAGTTATAATTTTAATATTGTCAGGTTGGTGTTGAGCCTTCATGATAGAATGCTTCAATTGGGATTTAATTGAGCCTAGTGAACCTATTTTACCACGTGCATTTGGCTGCTCAAGAAACGTATTCCATAGATTTGCCCCTTTATATGTGAAATTGTGTGATGATTGTGGTGTCACAAATCTGTCATCTCTGAGCTCAGACTTCTAAAAGAGAGAATACATAGATATGGGCTGATGACTCTTCACTTTCTTCATTGTTTCAGTAATGCATCGGTTTCTATGTATATTATGTATTGTCATTAGTTCCTTAGATTGGAAAATCGGTTTTGTTGATTCTCTAGAGTGGAATTCTGTCCTAAGTATTTGGCAGCGATGTGGCCTTACGTGTCTTTCACCAGTCTTCCTCAAGCTGATACATATAGAACACGGTTTAATGTGAGGTATAGTTGATTCATTGGATATTTGACCTTTCTTGTTAATACTGCACTGAATTGGCCTGCTACAAGAACAGTAAAACAAATTTTTAGTAAAACAAATTTAAATTTTGGTATTTATAAATAACAATCAAAACATATCATATCATAAAAATAAAGCCGCGCGTTGGTTGACTGCCTCAGTATGGTGAATAATTTAAGCTTGAAGGTGCCCTGCGCATTTACAGAACATTATGCGGCGATCACATGATCACGAGGACCTGTGAGCGCCAAATTTAATTTAAACTTTCTAGAAATCGTACATCACTACGAGTTACTCATGCTTTTGAATTATAGGAGTGCGGATTGTCAGGTATTTCATTCATTCATACTTAATCGGTTTAAAGCTGTATATTTAGAGCTCACTATTGTTTGAACTATGAAAGCAGAACGTAAATAATGGACAATATACCGACGACAATACCAAGGACCCGAGTGCCGCATTGACTTTTCCGGATCCGTTTTTACCGAAGGCTTATCCACCAGTTACTCATGCTGCATGTATAGTCTGATAATATTTTGTTTTATCTCTAGCAAGCATTCTGTAAGTTGGAGTGTCGTATTTATTATAGAAGAGCCAGCCAACCTCCGCATTACAATCTTTTGTATGCCAGGTTCGTTTATAAAATCTAATCATATAATAAGATTGATCCAATAGTCTAAGATGAACGGTATATCTTAGCTCATCGTTATTAAAATCCTAATGGATGAATTAATCAAGTAATGTTCCCTTCCAACACAACTAAACAACAAACAAATGCTTGCTCACCAGTGGTGACGCAATCGTAGGGGCATGCAGTTGGTTCAGATAACTCTCACCCCGACGACAGCGTCGAGAAATTATCAAATTATGCATTTGCGCCATACTGGACACATTTTATATTTAATATTTTGTGGTTTGTAGAAATTAGTGTCATCTAAAGTATAGCTTAACTGGCGAGCAAGCATCGTCCCACTCGGCGGGGACGAAAATACCGAGTCCAATCACAGAAAGTTAACCAAAAGATAAAAACAAGAGCTCGGATATCAACAAAAATCACACGCTCCAGACGACGGGGGAAGAGAGGATAGGAAGTAAGCTGCTGGGCTCAACAAATTTTGATAATTGTAAACAAATTTGTTCTTGTGCCCTATAATAATTTGGTATTGAGGTATGACCCTGTACTGTGCGTGATAGTGAAAATGAAAGTGAATGTGAATCTGTAATGCGAACGAAATGAGTTATGGCCAGACGATTCTTCAATTTCAAAATAATAAAGTCAAAGGACTCTGTTTTAAAATACAAGCTCATTCTTATCAAAGTTTAATTCTGTCCATTCTAATTCTTCGTACCTGGACTGTATCTTGAGTAGCTCACTTTTCAGTGTTACTTTAACTAAGTTCGTTGACTTAGTAAAGCTTATCAAACTGTCAATTTTTCGACAGTCGTTCCACATTTTTGTTGATTGATAAATGAAAGAGGAGGATGGGTTCGGGGTGATGAACTGGTCTGAACGTCTTTGTGATGGTGATCTGTGGAGTAAAGA